ATTAGCATATCTTCACCAGCTCTAGATTCCTACTACTAGGCCTTTTAAATTAAAAACGGTTCTCTGTTACAAACAAATTCAAACAAGGAACCAGCCAACCCCAAATGTTTGTCATTTATATTGTTCTTGGGTTTACATTCTTGCTTGGTTTTGTTTTCTTGTTCTAGTTATGTTTAATTTGATCGTTAATAATTGACTTGTTTAAGATTTACATAATAGTTAAGTGAACTGACCAACTGTTATCAATTAGAGGCAGAAATGAGAGCATTTATATTTTCTAGATTCTGTCAATCATTAAATGCACCACATCTTAAAAGATTACTAAGGATAAGCGAATAAGCCAGTATTTTTTTATTTTTATTTTTAATTCTTGTGCTTTGAACCATCTTCACGGTTCGCGTATCATAAGTTCAATTTTTCTGTAGTGGACTTAGAAGGGAAATCAGTTCTGCTGCTACCGGACGTCCAATCCAGGATGTGATCCAGACTGATGCTGCAATTAACCCTGGGAATAGTGGAGGGCCACTTCTTGACAGTTCAGGATACCTTATTGGGATAAATACAGCTATATACTCTCCTTCAGGTGCATCATCTGGTGTTGGATTTTCGATTCCTGTTGACACTGTGAGTAATTATTTAATTTTCTGTCTTTGGGACTTCCGTAAGATTTGGTATAAAATTTATTAGCTGATGTTTTTCTAGTTTGAAGATAATTGTTTTTGATATATCTTTCATACCCAGGTAAGTGGCATTGTCGATCAGTTGGTGAGGTTTGGGAAAGTCACCAGACCAATTTTGGGGATTAAGTTTGCACCTGACCAGTCCGTAGAGCAACTGGGAGTTAGTGGTGTTCTTGTATTGGATGCTCCTCCAAATGGGCCTGCTGGCAAAGCAGTATGTATTTTGATATATTTTTCTTCTTTTTCCTTGGTTTCATGTGATGTTATGGTGTGGAAGTTTCATTGTAATTTAAAGGTTTGGAAGTTGGAAGTATGCTGGACTAAAAACTGTATATTGCTGATACTATGTGTATTCTTGGTTCTGCAGGGTCTTCAATCTACTAAACGCGATGCCTATGGCAGACTTATTTTAGGCGATGTAATTACATCTATCAATGGGAAGAAGGTCTCTAATGGCACTGATCTGTACAGAATCCTGGATCAATGCAAAGTGGGTGATAAGGTAAG